AAAACGATGAACTTTGAGGCCTCCACCACACGCATAACCTTTACAGAACTAAATGAGCAGGTGACTAATGTTCCAACCACATATTTTAAGGTTGACTTGATAGCACAACAATCGAGGAAATATCATCATGGTAAAGACGAACATGTATCGATTTGGAAAAGAAAAATATTTTCTTTGGGCTGAGAATGATATAAGACACAATCTTGATTTGGTGCCCATTTGAAAAAAAAAATATGTGAGAATGTACTTCACACTTTGTTGGGCACTAAAAGAAAAATGAAAGACAAACTTAGTATAAGAAAGGATTTGCAATTATTGAATATACTGAGTTCTTTGCATCTTTTGTCGAGACCTAATGGCAGATTGGATTTACCTGCAGCAGCATATACCATGAAAATTGCTGAGAATAAAACATTTCTATCCATTCTAAAAATTTCAGCAGCAATTTATCCTGTCAATTTAGGGTAGAACAACAAGCAATTTGGGGATCTAGCCGCACCCAAGGAGGGTCAGAGACGCCAGGTATTGAGGTCCATGAACCATTGACGGTTAGTTAATATAAATATGTGATGAGTTTTAACGTAATATCAAAATTCAGGACGGTAGCATTATATTTTGCTTATACTTTGTTAGCCTATAAGAATGTTCCTGATAGTTGAAAACACTCTCATGTAGGTCGGCTCTTATATTTCTTTTATGTCCCATAGCTTGGAAAAATATGCTGCTGAAGGGATATGTTCCTGATCATTCGCTTCATCCGAGGAGTCAGTCTTGCTCTTGTCTACGGCCCGCCCCTCTTCCAAGTATGTTATCGCAATTTAATACGTGATGACGGTGAATTTTTAAGTGTTTGTGTAATATTTAATGAGGATGTCTAGTATCTATAAATGTGAGGATTGATACATAGTTATCTACTGCGTATATATATATTTTTTTTTGTTACCCTTTGTTCTTGTTTCTGATTTTTGCTTGCTTCCTTCGTTTGTTTTGTTTTTGTCTCCCTAATATTTGTTTCATTGAGAATTTATCCATTCAGTATAATGTGTTTGGATATTAAATGTAATTCAGTATTTTTTGGTGCATGAGATATGTAGTATTTTTTGTTGTTGTATAGTGTTTTCTAAGCACTCTTGTCGGTGGATCTTGGGTTTCATTAATATTGCACATGTTTGGGAATTCATTTAAGTTAAATTGTGCATATTTCAATATTATTATTCAAAAGAGCTGAGACTTAGGTAAGTCTTGGTTAGTAACTAGATGTTTTATTCTTAAAAAAGATTAGAGTTGATTTCTACGGATGGATAGTGCAATGAACTATTTCGGTTTTGTTACATAGTTAATTATATGCCCGTTTAGTGCATGATATAGACATAAATTTGATAGGATTTTCTTGGTATCCCTTATAGTTGTATATGCTTTCATATTGTTGCATGTAGTACTATAGGAAATTATCTTTTTTCCGGCATCATTGAAACATATTCGACTATCTTTGTTATGTATGAAATACTATTGATGATTGATCTTATTATTATTTTTTATTTGTAAATTGTTCGTTGAAATAATATATGACCTTCATGTTGCAAGTGTTTTATATATAAGTGTTATGCAAGCAATTGTTAAGGTCTTTGTAACTGCTGCCACGATTTCGGAAACCGCATTTATTCTGCCAACGAATGCTGGAGCACGTACCATTGGTGAGATAGTCAATGTCGATCCTATCGAGTGGACGTACAAAGATATATGTAATTTATTCTTGAAGATTTTTTTCTTTGTAGTAATTTATATTTTTTGCAATTAAATACTTATAAAACTTATTTATTCATTGCAGCTAGCTAGTTCGCCAAACCTGACTTCCTCCGCCGTAGTTTTGTCGTTGCATGAGCATCCGCACACCAAGCATGTTAATGTGATGAACTTGGACTGATGCATTACATCTTTTTACTATATTGGATTGAACATTTTGCGTACACTATGACGTCTCTACGGCTTACTAGATGATCATTTTGCGCATAAGTATGTTTTCCCTAATTATTCTTATGGATGAGATTCCGGCTTCTTTATTGAATTATTACAGATGTTGGATGTAATTAGAGTCATTCTATCTGAAATATGATTACAATCTTGTTGGAATCTTATGTCGAATTGCTCGAATAATCTCTTCCCGGAAAACCTTACCTTGCTTTAATACAAGTGCAGGCACACGAAGCCTTTGCCGAATACCATGACTTGCTTAAAGAGTTTGAAGAAAAGCTTTTTCGTCGCTTAATGCAGGAGAAACCTGAGTATTGTGCCACAGAACCTCCTGTTCGCCTTTGAATTTATCATCGACAAGGTCGAAATTCGGGAGCCAGATAAGTATTGTTGTTGTGTGTTAGGCAAAATTTTGTTTTGCTCTTAAGAATCACATCAAGTGCTTTTTTGTTTTTTTTTTTTGTTTTTATTCATGTATTTTTGGGATTTAGATATGCTACTCTCTTAGTTTGATGGTAAAAATAGATGTACAAAAGTTGTTGAGACCAATTTATGTAATGTTTAATCTGTTTTTGCATTTTGTTAGTGATTTGATGGATGCTCTAAATCTTTATATTTTAAGGTTGTAATTTGTTTTTGTTTTCTTTACATGAAAATCCGCAGCCGCTACCCGAAAGTGCGCACTGGGTAAATCCCGTGCCGAAAGGTTGTAATTTGTTTGATTACTAGAATGAAAGGACCTCACTTTATAATACTTAAAAATAAAATAAAATAAATCATACACTTGCACTAAAACATAAAAACTGATTCTTTAGGAATTTCAATTGATCCGCCGTGTTTATTGATTCATTGGATTCTATTGGAACTAAACTCTTAACATTTTGACATGGCATGTTCCACATATATAATTTATCGAAGTATTTAGTATTTAGGATGTCCTCCCTCCGTCCGTCGTTTAATAAACTATCTATTTTTTATTTTAGTTTGTTTATAATAAAATATCCATTTCGTTTTCTTATATTAATTGTATTGTCTATTTAATTTTAAAAATATATTTACAATTTACAATATATTACACAAATGTAATTACTTTTGCATCACACAATATTAATAATATTATTTTAGTTATTTCTACTTTGTTTCGACTACATATCAATACAATACTAATATACCTTAAACTCCTTACAAAAAATAAACGAATACCTACTTAAGGAAAGAACGGAAGAAGTATTTTGTTTTTATTCAAGTTTTTTCAAAAAGAAAATTGATATAAATTATTTTTTAAAATAATATTTTATAGAAAAAGTAATATTTTTATTAAAAACTATATGAACTAAACCGCATTGATTTTGACTTTTAAGAAAAATTAGTATTGTATTTTTTAGTAGAGTACAAGCAATTTTACAACTCGCCCATATTTAATTAATGCAACAGTATTGTGTAATAATAATAATAATAATAAAAGGAATAAGTCCCTAAGAATGGATTGATGGTGTAGAAATGAACTCGAGTTTGTTACTATATTGTCTGCTCACTTGTAAAATTTAGCTTATGAAAATAATAATAATTAAGATGATTTGTTTGAGTTTGAATTTAAATTTGAAATTAGATGTTAAGTTTGAATTTTATTTAAATAATATTTTAATACAATATTTTATAAGAAAAAAATAATATACTTTTATTAAAAACTAGGTAAAATGAATAATAGTATAATATTTTAATTCGAAAAAACTAAAAGAACTAACCATTCTTCTTCTTCTTTTTAATCGTATTATTATTATTATTACATCAGTGTTTGATAATTATTTTTTTTATTACTTGGAAAATTGCTACTCAAAGGTGCCCTCAAGGTAAATCGTGTAGTCAAATTTGAACCTATAATCTCATGGTCTTATAACCATGTGACAGCTTCAGGTTTGCACATACAAAACTTTGTACAAAAACTTAGTTTGTTCCTGAAATATGTTTCTTATTGTACTGTATGTAAATTTATATAAACAGAATCTTCTAATAATCTTTATTTTTTAATGTAAAATGAATTCAAATTATATTCTTTTAGAAATAATCCTAAATCCTAAATACTCCTTACAATTAAACAATACATAATTTTGATTAACACCGTATATATTGTGTTAATTGAAATTGTACAGTTCATATTTATAAGTCTATTATATAGAAAAAAATTTATGTTGAATCAATAATAATATACGTGAAATTATTATATACCATCAATTCATGCACCGTATTTACATTATATTAAAATAAAAATAATATATTATCTTTATACGATATCTTTTTCATTTACAGTTTATTACATGCACGGTTCCAATAAAAACCAAACACACCCAAGAAAAAAAGAAAAACCACACCTAAGGCGAACCTTTCCATAGCTATAGCTCAACCCTCATGACAAGTATAATCCCCCCACCCGACCTATTCATCTAGGTTGTCAATTTGTATTTTTGGATCTTGTTCATGTCCGATTGAGCCACGAGGATAACACAAGTTGTCGATTCGAATCCGATCCGAACTCGAAATTTGACTCGAAACCCTAGATTCAAATACGATACGAATTCTTTTAGGTCGGATTTAAGTTGACCTAATTTAATTTCTGATCACCCGAAATCCGAACAAACTCGACACAAAACTGACCCGAAAACTATAAAAAAAAAATTAAATTAACTTCACAAAAATTATTTTTTTTTTTTTAATAAATAATATAAATTAAAATTATAATAATAGTAATATATAATGTCATGTCAACCCGAAACACGAAACTCGATCTGAATTTTATATTTCGAATTATCAGATCAACTCAAAATCTACGACACAACTTTTGTTTTCCGGGTTTGGGTCAACCTAAGTTTTTGCAAACATGAAATACCCAAATCCAAACCTGAAAAATTTCAAGCCGAACGGATTCGATTTTTCGGGTCGGGTTCAATTTTGACACTCATAATCCCAACTCATTGTCTATCGTTAAAATCAATTCAACGACCGACCCATTGTCATCCTTACAGTCGAAAACACATACAAACTCATTGTCATCTTTATTCGTAATAAGCAAAATTCGACCACATAAATTCGCAGCTCCTACCTCAAGATTAGTACAATATCACATGCAAAAGAACTCTGTTTCGAGATTTCTAAATGCACAAAAAACATTTTTTTTAATGAGATCCGCCATGTTTATGAACTTAAAAGCATCTGATAGAAGTACAAAAATGTTATGATCAAAAATCAAATCCCAAAGAGTCAGAAAGAAACATACCAATGCCTAGCAACCATTCAGATATGCGTTCCGTCACTAACTTTGTCGACCAAGTGTCTGTTTAGTTACTACAGCTCAACCTGCAGTTTCTCAAAACAGAAGGCAACGATAACTGGCCCTGAAAGATCCCCAAGTGCACAGCCTACAGAAAACGCGTGAAGCATTCAATTAAAGCAAGAAAAGATTGCATTGTATGTATGCACAAGTACTGTTCTTCATTTCATGCCGGTTCTACACAAGCTTTATCGAAACATACCGATCCATTGCCCAGCCGATGGTCGAATAAATGTTGCTCCGATCCCAGCTGCAATAGAAGCAAAAATAAGAGACGCGCCACATCTCACGGTGGTGCCACAAACCTTCTTTACAAGAACTCGAGCTTGTTCTGATGTGTCGACAGGATCATCACCTTCTTCCTTGGGCTTGGATATTGACCTAAGGAATCGATAAATGTCAATGCCTACTTGGACTATCCATGATGCTAAAATTCCGAGGCAATGTCCTGCATATGCAAAAAGGTGCAAGTTCAAATTAGCTGAGCCGTAGAGAGGATAAGAAATGAGGGACAGATTACCTCTGAATGTGGTTCTGCTCACACAAAAAGCATATGTTGTAGTTGGCATCCCTCTGGCAGCCTTTCGAGTGGCTGATTTTGGTACATCTGTGATAATTCAAGGATAACATCAGGACAATACGGATAATACGTGTGTTTGTCTAATAATTAAGAATACCTTTGAGAAGCTTCCAGGCCATGCGCTGTGAAACATAGTGAACTGCAAGTCTTTCAAGGACTCGCCTCGTAGTAACTACACTTGTCTGAGTACCACATCATCCAATGAGTTTAATTTTATTAGAGATAAGAAAATAAAGCTCTCAAAGTTTACCAAGGAAAGGGAAGTGTTACCTCACGAACTATTTGCTTAACAGATTTCTTGAAAGGAACAATCAAATCCAAACGTTTTTCCTCAGGATTTTCCTGTAGAAAATCCTCGTCATCAGCATCTTCCACAGCCGTTTGGGGCTCCACAAGTGGCAAATAGAACAACAGGAAAGACCTCAGAGAAGTCAGTGCCAAAGTTTTCCAATGAAATGCTGAGAATAGTGGTTTCAACTGAATATTATACTGCTTGGGACTGTAGTTCAGCGCATTGCTATTAAATATCCTCCCAGACGCGTATCGTATGCTTGAAATGTAATCTTCATCCAGAGTTGCACCCGCATCACAATACGCAACTTGTGTTAGGCCATTTCTGTGACATAATGCATCAACACCAATCAAATAATGTATAAAAAATGAGCTATATTTTACTTTAATCTGTCAAATTCAATGATCTTTATTGCTTTGAATGATAATCCCACTTGTGAGTAGAATATGAGAAATTCTTCCCATTTTATCAATTCCTTTTGCAAGTCAATCAGCTCTCCACTTAAACATATCAATGCATCAAGATCGTATTTGTGCCTATTGTGAAACACATTTGATTCACAAAGTCATGCAATAACATCAATTCACATCTATCAGAATTCGATGAATGTGTTGTAGCAAAATTCATTTTATTCCATTAGAGAACATTTTCATCTTCTAAAAATGCAGGAATCCAAACAAAATAGGCTTAAGATCATGCCTTCATTCTACATTCATACCAAACATCGACTCATCCTAACTGACTATTAGTATTTTGAAAATTTCGACAGATTTATCCCTTTTCCACTATGTTTTCTTGCCTAGAGCTAACGAAAAAACGTATGCAACCCCCAAGACTCCTTTTCAAAACCTACATATTTTGAAGACAAACAACATTCTAGCATAACAGAATAAAACACAACAAAAAGTTTCCAGCAATACAGAATAAAGACTAACCCAAACAGAGCTCCGAATGCGAAAGGAGTCGCGAAGGCGAAAGAAGCAGCCGCGGTGGAAGCTCCGCCGAGTTTGGTGGTAAACAGGCTTCTCGAATTGAAGGCTTGCGCGCCGAAGTGAGGATTTCTCCTCACCATATCCAGCAATACCATAGCCGCCATTCTTCAGATGCCTTTCTTCTCCAAAACCACAAAAACCGAGGACGAATGATGGTGCCCTAATTAGTGATCAATCATACAGCCGAGAATCGAAATCCAAACTCAGATCGACAACCGAGAATGGGATCTCGCAGCTTTAATCAGAAAAATTTGCGAATCATTTCTCCAATTCAAGGCGGCTTTGAAATTAGAGTAACGGGTATAATATACCGAAGTATCCAAATTTGGGCCGCGTTTACTCTCCTGGTTTTACTGTGCATTTGCTATTCAAAACACAACCTACAAATATCATCGTATTCCAACCTACAAATCCTACTCTATTGTTCCCCACTATTGCCCTGACACAAATCAATTTTTAAAAACTTGGCAAAATAAGTTTGAAATGGCAGCGACGACGACGACCGGCGACCACCTGGAGAAGAAGCTGCCAATTAAAAAAAAGAATGAAAAAAGAGATGAGAAAATACATCAATTTCTTCAGTACGCAATCAGTAGCCACACTCCCATTCTATATAAATACAACAAAATGAATCAAAGAACTGGGGGAAAAAATGTAAAATATTTCCAAAACTTTGAAAGTCACAGAGCAGAAAAATACAGAAAACAAAAAAAAAAAATGACATGGAAAACAAATCAATATCCAATTAGACACCAACACTAACAAAAAATTGAAAGAAATAGATAAAAAAAGAAATGCATACACAGAAATTCGCGCAGATTGCGAGGTGGGGATCGGCGGTTAGCGGCGATATGCGAGATCGAGATGAAGGTGGGGGAGGGCGGCCGGCGGAGCGTTGCTGTCGACGATTTTAGACGATTGATTTGGAATCGGATTTGCGAGATTTGAGAATGGAAATGTTGTCAATAGTCGTTCGGCCGGCGGTGTTCGGTTTTCGAACAGGCGGGTTACGGGTCAAATCAAAACCGGACACAAACCGACGGAACGACGGATGGTTTTTGTCAAACCATGAACCGGCGGTTCGGTTTATTACTCCCTCCGTTCCACATAATTTGTCCCTATTTTTTATTTTCGTTTGTCCCACGTAATTTGTCCATTTTTTTGGAAATATAATTATACAATTTAATCTCATTTTAAATTTTAAATTTTATAATTTTTTTAATCTGATTAAACTATTTAGTTATTTTAATCTTAATCCACAGTTATTTTTATTATACGATAATTATTTTTATTAATATACATTTTAATTATTTACTAATTACAATTTACCTAAAATTTTCCGCATCTACAATAATAGGCCCTTAATTAATGGAATGGTTGGAGTATTATATTTTTTATTTATTTTTTTATTTTTTTTAATCATGCAATTTGCAAAGCGGCGCCAAGGCGCAAAGGCGGCCAGATGAAATGTAAAAGAACGAGGAGAAAAGTAGAAAGAAAAAAAAAAAAAAAAATTGGACATGAAAGAAAAAAGAAACTTGGTTCGACCGTGGGAATATAAAATTAGAGTAAATTTTGATATTAATAGTTAAATTTATATATTAATAATTTTTTATAAAAACGAAAAAATAATATTAATAAAAATAAATAATTATCAATTATATAAAAATAATAATATAATATTATATTTTATAATTTATAATTTTTATTATATAATTATATCTAATTTAAATTATTTATTATCTAATATATCAATTCTTTTATAACTTATTTTAATTTAATTTCTTACTAAATTTATTATTTTTATATTATAACAATCTAATTAATTATTATTTATATAATTTTTATACCATAAATAAATAACAAATATATATTTAAACAAAATTAAAATTCATTTTAAAAAACCTAGAAAATAAAAAAGAGGATAAATATATATATATATATATATACGGGACTAAAATAATATGAGGGTCTCATATATAAATTGATGGTTTAAAGCGGAATCGATCGTTTTTAAATCGAAATTGACCGCTTATAAACGGAAACCGTCGAACCGTAATCAAAACTGTCACTTAAAAAGTTTGATTTCAATTTGATATTTTGGAAACCCATAACGGTTGCTATTAGAGATTTAGGGCCGTATTGTTTATTGGATTTATTGCACTCATAAAATTTTAGGTGTATTAGATTTTTGAAAATTTAAAATTTGGCTGTATTCAATTCAGATTTTAAGAAGTCATTTGGTGATACACTTTAAAAATCTACTCCCTCCATTTCACATCATTTGTAGTTATTTTTTATTTTTTTTTTTTTTTTTTTTTTAAAAATATAATTATACACACATTTTAATTTTTAAATTCTATAGTTTTTTTAATTTTAATTAAACTATTTAGTTATTTTAATTTTAATTTATATTTATTTTTACTAATACACTTTTTAATTACTTATCTTATATATTATCTTATACGCCCTCCGACCCGCTAAAGATGGATCATTTTGTTAAGGACACGGTATTTTATAGGTAGTGTAGATTATTGTGTTATTAATAAGAAGTTATAATAATATTTTATTATTTTTTTATATGTGTAGTATTGTTGGCATTTTAAGTATTTTTAAAATTATATCTCAATAAAATATATGCAATATGAATATCAATTTGTATACAATAAAATTTTATATAATACAAATGAATAAACAAATATATTTATTTATTTATTTATTTATCATTACCATAAATTAGTTTTACTCCCTCCGTTTCAGAAGTAAGTATTCATTTGTTTTTTACACGTAATTTTAGAAATATTAGTATTATATTATAATATAGTAGGAATAAAGTAAAAATGACTAAAATAACCTTTATTAGTATGTGTGATATAAAGGGCGTTTGGTACAGAGAATAGAATTGCAGATAAATGACAGCGGAGAATAGAATTAGAGAGAAATGAAATTGAGTAGATAATGAGAATTAATTCTCTTGTTTGATAAAACAGATAATTGATTTGAGAAATCTAAAAAAAATGCAGATATATGAATGAACAAACAAAAATAAATGATTAACACGATAAAAAGAGAGTTTTAACGAATGAAAATTCATGAAAAATATTTTTGGTAAATTTTTTTTAAAAAAAATTATAAATTATATACGATATTTTTTAAGATTATATTTCAGTACAATTTCTTAAAATGTCGTAAAAATTAAATACTTTAAAAATAAATTAAGTTTGTTTTTTGTAAAATTAAAATAATATAATTTTTAAAAAATTATAAAAATTAAATAGTACAAAAAATTTTAAAAATTAAAAAATATATATACTGCAACATCATTTCTCTCCGTTTCTCTGCATATGGGAGAGAAATGAAAACAGACAAATGGAAATGATTTATTTCTCAAGTTCCATTTCTCTTGACTCAAACAAACAAGAGAAATGATACAATTTCCATTTCTCTGGCCTTATTTCTCTATACCAAACACAACCTAAAGTAATGGTATTTGTGTAATATATCGTAAGTTGTAAGGGTATTTGTAATGTTAGTAAATAGTACAGTTACTAAAAAAAATAAATGGATACTTTGTTATGAGACGGATTAAAATGGAAAAATAGATACTTTGTTATAGGACGGAGAGAGTATAAAATACGAGGAGTTTTAAATATGATAAAAAATAATTTGTTTATTGATGAGAGAAATAGAAATAAAGGGTTTTGAGTAGTCCTATGTAATGTTAAAAGTTTAATTAAATTGATTTATATTTGTTAAGTATGTTTAAAATTGATAAATTTACCAAAAATAGAAATAGATCATCTTCTGTCGGACGTACCAAAAAGAAAATATGATCATCTGTGGCCGGAATAGGAGAGTATATACTATTATAAGAGCTTATTGTGGGGTCTACTTATGCAAAAAGTTTGAATTTCTAGCAATTTTACATTTTTTGAAAAAATAATCTGATTGGTCATTATTTTTGATTGATGGTTATAAAATATGAGTCGTATATAATAATTGTTGTATATATTTATTTTAAATATACAAAATTATATGTAATGTAATTGTATTTGTAGCATTTTTATGTAATGTAATTGTATTTAATGTTATTTTTATATACTTAATATATTAATAGAATTGTAATAATTTAATAATATTTTTTCTAATATGTTAATATATAAATAATATTATAAATGTAGAGATAGATTTTAATTGTATATGTTGTGCAAATTGTAAATTATAATTTTATATATATCTTATATATACATATAAAAACACTACACTTATATATATATATTATTTTATGTTAATGTAGCACATATTTAAAAATTAACTATTAATAATAATAACTATTATATAAATTACATAAATATAAATATATTTTTAACATTAAATATATTTTTAAATTATAATTTTGTTGTTCGTTAATGTTACCGTGCGTAATACAAACTTACCGTTAGTTAATTATATTTTAACTAAATTCTCATGTCTACGCCCATATTACATGGGACGAAGGGAGTATGAATTTTGTTGAATTCTTTAATAAAATTATTAACAAATTAGACTGTTTAGAATTTTGGTTAGAAAATGATATTTCAGTGAATTCTCAAAATCTAAAAAATATTTATTATTTTTTTATATCATTAATAACTATTTATTATTTTATATGTATTTAATATTTTATTGTAATAATATCAATAAGATAAGAAAATTTTAAATATAAATATAAAAATTACAAATATTTTTAAAATTTTATATATTTGAAATAATATTAAAATTTATATATATTTAAAATAACAAGGTAGATTTGCTCAAATGGTTTGAATCAAAATCATCAGTTTTGATTTTTTGAAAAGTCAAATAGAAATTAAATTTTTCATAATATTTATTTTTATTTTTTTATTTCGATTTCAGTTTCGTCGATTTTAGTTCAAAAACCACCAATTTTAGTTTACATTGTTAGTCTATGTTTATTCCTTTTAAATTCTTTTATTGTTTTAATTTCATTTTAAAAACTGAATTCTAATTTGATTTCATTTAGAAATATATTGTTTTTTAAAAATTATATAAATAATAATAATAATAATAATAATAATTAAATAAATTGTTACAAGATAAAAATTAATTACGTTAAATAATAATATAACAAATCCGAACAAAATAATAATATAACAAAAAATATAACTTTATTATTAAAATAAAAATGAGAATAATAATAATAAATATATTTTTTTTTTAAACTAATGTATTTTTAATATTTTTTATTACATACTGTATTTTATATTTTTCTATATATACACCAGTTTACTTCATATATTTTAAATTATATAAATTAAAAATAAAAATATTTAATTCACAAATTTACAAACTCAAATAAAATCTAAGTAAATTAATAAATAATTCAATCAAATTTATCAAAATTCATATAAATTAATAAATAAAATCAATTAAATTGTTTATAAATTCTATATATAATTTCTAAATTCACTGAAGTCTACAACTTTTAAAAGTCCAAACAAATTCATTAAAATCACCCTCCTTAGTGTTAGAAATTTGAATTTTATCTAAAATAATAATAAAAAAATTCTTTATTTTTTAATAAATAAATTATTTAATAAAAATAGAGAAAAAAAATTAATATTGATTCCAATATAATTAATAATTATCAAATTTGATCTGAATATAAAACTCAACGATTTTAGTCTTATTATTAAATATTTTAATCAATTTTGGTCACACTCTTTAAAAACTAACGGGAGCGAACGAGTCGAGTGAACATAAGGGATGCTGATAGAACAGCTTAACTTGACAAACCACCGCCATATATTACACCAAACCACAACCATGTATAAGTAACAAGGGACCGAATCAACCAACACGGCCGTGTGGCACCCCAACACGGCTTCGACTTCCTGCGACAAAACATGATGCGTTTCAAACTCGTCGGAGTTCAACGACAGACTCCAAGCAACCGTTTTTCAGCCCAA